CACCATACAACAATCCCTGTGTACACCATACAACAATCCCTGTAAATGTACAGACCATAGTGAAAAGGGACCTCGATTTGCTAAATAGACACCAACTAGATAACGATGGAAATAAGTTATACTAACCTCCATTGTATACTAACTATTTTAGTTCAGCAACAACATCCGGCTTCAAAACTCCAAGTACACCGCACTTTTCTTTCTTTGTTTGAATTGACATTGCCATCCATCTCTGTCACCTCTACCTCCGAGATTGGTAATTGTTTTCAGTACGCTTTGGCAAACAAGAACTTATATACAAGAAGAATGTTTCCTAAAGGTGTTTTCATTCGTAACTAGGTCTAGTAACAATTTTTTTCTAGCCTCAGTCTGTATCTCTCTGTGTATTTAGCAATTATTCGTCTCAGGCTTAGTGAATATCGGGGAATATTTACCGAGACGTATTTACGTCGTATTAGTATCTTTAATTAAAGTTAATAAATATTGGAGAGAGAGTTTTTTGTACAAATTCTACTTATGTCTGCAATATTATTAAGAATATAGCAGCATAAGACGTAAATTGTGTCCAATGAACGCGCCGGATTGATAAGACAAAAGACAAATATTCCCTCCTTTATCTATACTACTTCCAGATTTTCGGGATTTATTTTCACTAATTTTATTCACAGTAAAGAATGTCTCACGTTTGCCGATAAACGATAATCTTAAATTCTATATAATATTGACAGAAGGGTGACTAACCAAGCTATTAAAATTGACAATACCAATCGAGAGTATAATATTGCATTTTTCTTGTGTGGAAAATATAGTTTACGATAATTTCTCAATCGAATATACATGGTTGTAAGGTTGTTACTGAGAAGTGCATTTTGGCTTCACTTGTGTTGAATCACTTGAATTTTTTGTTTAAGAAATCTTAATTAAGCCGGATTAAAAAAATAGATACTCGCAAAAGCGTTTCAGCTGCATGTTTCATTCAAATTGATTCAATAATAATATAAACCTACGCGGAACAAATACTTAATTATTCTTCAGAAAAAGACGAATTTCGACTTTAGATTTAAGTCATCATTGCTCCAATGAAGTCATAAAAACTTAGAAATCATCAAAGAACTGTAAATAAGAACTGTATATAGTGAATATGAACAAAAATAGATATCAATAAATCAGTGCTATCAAAACAAAGAGTTTCGCACGAAAAGAGACTGCAATTTTGTGTAAATAAGCTGGACTTTAAGCTGGACAGTCAGGCTTTAAATATATAAAGCAACTCATGCTTTTAACTTGATCATTCTTATACTCAAATGTTTTAGTAAGTCACTTGTTTTATTGTCAAAATTAAAACTTGAATAAATTACGTGGATGGGTTTTATTGGCTGCTCATTTCATATGCAGGTGCATCATGCCTGGATTTTTTTTAACCTAAGCAACTACGTTGAATATTACGTTCCAGATCTTTTTGAACTTGCCAAGAGATTTACACAATACTGCTTTAAATCTTACATTGGAGGGTATAATTCACAATTTCAAGTAAGTAAAAAAAAGAAACGTGAATTATTTGATATGATTGTGAAACAGCATTTATTTTAAATGTCTATGAATAACGGCATTACGAAATCGCGGATACCACGGATACCGCAGATACTGCTGGGAAATAAATTATAGCTTTATATTTTATCAAATAAATGGTACCTTAGACTGCTGGAAAAACAGTCTCGTATTTTAAGCATCCCTTTTAATTTATGACGGTATCCGTGGTATCTGCGTTTTCGCAATGCCGTATGAACAAAAACACTGAATTGAAATCTGCTTTTTCTCTAACTTATTTGCATTTGGGCGTTCGCAAAATCCCTTAAAGATTTGTAAAATAAGATTTGTAGTAAAATATAAGTATATAGATATATTGGAAACGAATAGTTATATTTCGTGCAATTGGTAAAGAGGGCAAGTTTGGTACCGTGTGCCACTTTCGTAAAAGGAGACGAAAGAAAAGAAGATAAGGACTGATCTTTGCACGATAACTCGAAAAACGTTTATTCGTTGAGGCGAAAGAATGGTCAAGATAGCACACATTTCAGGTGTAAATATTTCTCAATTTCTACATCGTCATAGTGAGCTTTGGAAAGAAAAAAAAAACAAACAAATAGCATTATATGAAGGTTTATTAAATTTTCAGTTAAATTTATCTCTGATGTTGGACCGGGAATAGTGCAGAATTTACATACCAATTTAGGAAAATTTATTAGAATTTAGATTGAAGAATTATTAGAATTTAGCTTGAAGAAAAAAGTAGTTTTCGAAGGAGGAAAACCATTTGTCTCACCATAACTTTTTTACATATTATAAAGCCCACTCATTTTCTCTTTTCTTTAGACTTAAAGTTATCAAGTTAATTGGCTTTCTTTCATAAAAGTTTGTCTTTGTATTATTTGACTCTAAATAAAAGACTTCCGGCATAACCAATTCAAACTGGTTAAAGCTGTAACCCAGGTACATACATGGACTGTATAGCAGCCATATTCTTTTAATTCGATCCCGTTGAGCTGTGCCACTTGCTCGCTAATGACGGAGGCATGATTAGCGATAGCGAGTTGTTTTAAGCATACTACCAACTATGTTTAAGGTATTTGAAGCAAGATCTTTCTAAACCAGTTTCCGGCCACTTTAATTCCGCTAATCACTCAGAATCTAACATAATTGTCTTTTGTTTAAGTTTATTGCACGGCGGTAATAACAAAACTTGACCATGTATTTGTTTGTTTTTCGCTACTCGCTATCTATCACAGGTTTAACTAATCTAAGTCAGTTTTCTATGGGTCTGTACTGTAATCGAACATGAAATGACGTCGCTGCGTTCATGGTTCCACTTGAGTTTGGATCATTTTTGACGTCATTTCATGTTCGATTACAGTACAGACCCATGGAAAACTGACTTAGATTTGTTATAGATAGTGAGTACGTTAGCCAATCAGATTGCAGGATTCGTGATAGTTTGCTAGTAGCTTTATGCTAAATTTACTTACTCTGACAAGTGCATGGTCACGTTTTTTTGAAATCTCTGTTTGTTCTCTAAAAGTTCTTTAAAAATCGATTGTAGAAAAGACAAAACTTTATCAAGGAAAGGAATGGAGGTTTTGAACGGTACGGAAAAATAAAAACTGAAGAATTATGGCAATTTCTATAACACGAAAAAGCGGCCGTCAGATTTCACTGAGATTTTCATGTGCAAACTTACGACGGACGAACAACTGACTACTGAGATAATGTTGGCATTTTAAAAGGTTCCCTCAAAGAACAGAAAAAATCCAAAACACAACTTATTCACATGTATTCAAGAAGAATTTTAAACAGTAAGAACAGACGAGACAATAAAGAAAGTGTAAGAACGGCTTTGAGTGATCTGACAGCAAAGTATTTGTAAATAAATTATTTCAGTTTATCACTCATTAATTAGAAAAATGATCCCAAAAACTGATAAGATAAAAAACAGAGAGAAAGAGAGTTTGACAGTAATAATAGAGACAATTAGCTATAAAAATAGAGCAAGCTTAAGCTTTACGTTAATACTTCGAGTCGAGTTCGCAAATATGAATGAAAACAGCGGTGCTGCCGGTTGACCGTAGCTTTGTACAGTAAAGTTTTCAGTGTCATTTTTTGTTTTTAATGCTATAATATTAGCTAGTAGGTTTATGCTAAAACAATTAGACTACTCGTTCTCGTTTTCTATGAGTCAAATAGTCTATTCGGCGCTACGCTCCTCATCGACTATCTATTGACTCATAGAAAACTCGACCTCGTAGTCTAATTGTAATATTGTATAATATTTACAGAGCCCAAATATCAAACCAGCTTTGCTGAACTGGGCACCTCTGTATAAATATTGTTGATAAATAAATAAATGAATTTCAAGCGAATCACCTTAATTAATTTTTCAAGTATAAAAAGCGTAAATCAATATAACAATAGACTGGCAAGCAAAAAACGTTACCTTCGGTTTACCTTCTTTTTATTGGGGGGGGGGGGGTATATTATAAGCAATAGATCGCAAAATCTTCTTGTACAATTCGAAATTTATAGATACTCGTGATGCTTTGAAAGTTCTCAAATTAAACTCGCCTAAAGGCTTGTCCAAAACGTTCACAACATCACTCGCACCTATAAATTCCGAATTGTTCTCGAGATTGTGCGATTTCCTATACACTTCACAGTCGATCATATTACTGATTTCATTCGTCGTCGTTGAACGATCACAAATCAGTTTAGGTTTTGACATTTTAAGATTCTAATCTTCTTATTTCCTTTGTATCAATTGGTAGTCATAATCTGGTGCCACAAACTTCGAGATCCAATGAACTACACGAGCTGTCCCCCCGTAGTAATGCCATCACATTACAGCCAAGAATTGTTACGTCATGACTACATACTGAAGATCGTATCTTGTACAATTCTAGTACTACTTACCATCCCAGTATCATCACTCAACATGCTAGTTATCTTGACCGTTATAAAAACTCCAAAACTCCAAACTCCTTCTTTTATTCTGATATGCAGTCTTGCCATGACCGACTTCGGTTCTGGGCTCGCAGCATTTCCCATAAACGCGTCCTGGAGGCTTGTAGAGTTAGTAGATCGCGATGCTAATATTTGCAGCACGTTTGACGTTGGCTTCGCCATCGCTTTCACGCTGTTGAGCTCTTCAGAGTTGACCGTTACCGCCCTAAGTATCGACAGATATCTCGCGATACATCTAAGTCAGCGCTATCGTAACCAGGTTACTAATCGTCGTGTTGTCATAGTCGTGGTGGTATTGTGGTGCATAGCTGTGGTATGGGGTGTTTCTAGTGTGTTTATTACTCCTAAAGTCCTCCATACTACTGTCGTGTTTGTTGGGATTCTAACATTTGGAGCTATATTCTTGTGTTACGCGCTGGCGTTCAAGGCCTTACTCGGACAAGAGGCAATGTTTCGAAAAATGAATCGTCAGCAACAGGATTTTAAAGCTAGTAAATCTGCTTTGACGTCCGAGAAGGAAACACCACAAGAACTGTTAACTACATCTCCGCCATGTCAACAGACAAAAAGAAGATTGTTTGCCTTGCATCATAACAGCAAGAGGAAAAAATCATTACAGATAAATATTATCAAGACTTCACCTTCTAAAGGAAATGAAGACGCGGTCGAGAATGAAGACCTAAGCACGTGCTTTGCCTCCTTACAGTCAGATTTAATGACGCAAGACAAGAAGAGAGCACCTGAGGATGTTAAACAAGAGTTTGAAGAAACACGCATCGAGCACTTTCATAAGTCACGTCATCTTTGCAAAACATGTATTCCCGATGACAAAGATGTTATGCTTTCAGTTATTGATGTATCTAAATTTTCAAAAGATAACGTCGAGTTAACAGATGCATCAAGAAACGGAAAGGAATCAAATTGCTCTATTTCCATATGCGTGACAAACAGTTATCTAAAACCAGAGTCAAAGACGACTTCATTTAAAGGCTCTGTCGACAATAATTCTTTGAAGACAACAGAGGACCACAACTACCGACAGAAGAGGTTCAGTTATCTTCGAAACAAGATGAAAATGTTCAGATCAGGAGCTGGAGCGTCTGTTAGGTTGGTCAAGTACAGATATACTATCGTGACCCTGTTATGGGTCATTAGCATGTTAATACTTTGTTATGCGCCTTATTTCTTCTTGTCATTTATGGTTGCGTTTACTGGAATGACCAATGAAGGCGCAGTAGCTTGGAGCATAGCAATAACAGTAATGTGCATCAACTCTCTCATCAACCCTGTGATATATCTATGGCGGCTTAGGGCACTAAGAAAAGCGTGTTTGAATATTTTGAAAGGGATTTGCTGTTAATGAAATCGTCACGTCACAGTGTGCGCGTACGGTAGACCCTCCCTCTGCATCTCTATGCTCTATTGACATCATTACGTCACAGTGCGCGCCTACCGTAGACTCCCTCTCAACCCGCCTATGTTCTATTGACATCGTCACTTCACAGTGTGCGCGCGTATTGTAGACTCCCTCTCTACCCGCCTATGTTCTATTGACATCATCACGTCACAGTGCGCGCGTACCGTAGATTTACCGCACATGTTAGGTATGTGTGTCGGATGTGCATCCTTTGAATTTGTAATCTCACGTTTTAGCTTAAAATGTTTATTATTTTGTAAGTAAGTTCATGTTACGAACTGATTTATTTTCCCTTAATTATAAAGAAGAAAATAAGATTTAAAAATCTCTCTTTGCGAAGAGTTTCATTAAGATAAAATATAGGCAGCTAAAATATAGTATTATATAGTGATATAAACGATGAGCGCTTGTAAATTAGGCTTGGTTTAAAAATTAGTTTTTCTTGAGAATAAACCTGTTTGGTTGAGACGTCTGTATTAATGATTTTCGAAAGGCCATAAGTTATTTTATTGGCCTTAAAATGAGGGCCTCAAATTGGAAAACATTGAATGCTGTTAAGTTAGTGACTTATTTTATATATGTTTAAATAAAAGGCTTTTGCCGTAATTAAAAATTTTTGTATAGGCTTGGCGTTCATGATAATAAAATGATATAAATACACTCAATGACAAAATTATTTAGTCTATTTACGGGTTGAAAACATAGAACATAGAAGCTGTGACCAAAATGGTACATGTACATGAGAAGTACGTTGGTTAAATGTATCTAGTGAGACAACTCGTAGAATGTTCATAAATTATTGCGTTCACAGAAAGCATGGAGGCTTTTAACACATGTTTCATATCGTTTGCGTATCTCAACTGAATACATCAGAGGATAATTACGTATTTCCCATAACACCTTTCCGATCTCAGCTTCAGTTTTCTATGTTTTCAAACCGACAATACACCGTTCTCATAATGGCTGAAAAGGGCACGAAAACAAGGTCAACCAGTCATTAGTTCACAATACAAGATATAAAAGTACATTAAATGAGTTTATAACAGAAAAGTATAGAAATTTAACTCTTGTTTTGACCTGTATTCGCGCTATCCACCTTTATTCTGAATGAGCAGCCTTGCTCAGCCTTGCAAGATGACTGGGTGACCTCGTTTTTGTGCGCTCGTCAGCCATTATGAGAAGGGTGTATAATTTTGCAATTGAGTGTATATGAATGAACACGAATGAAAGTCGTTGTCAGTAAAGTCATTCATGTCCAAACATACATAAAGCTCTAGTCTTGTTTTACAGAGCTTTAAAAATTTTGAACTAAAAATTTTGTTTTTTAACACAAGTTATGATGACTAGCTTTCTCGACGTTTCAGCACTCTCGGGTGCCATTATCGATAGTGCGTGTATATGAAGAGAATGTCTTACGGGACAAACACTTTGGCTTGTAGAGAGTCTRAATGCATCTTGAGAACACAATTCAGTCAATATGCAATCAGACTCTCTCAAAGCCAAAGTATATGTCACCATAGGAGATTCTCTCTTCGGATTCCACTTATCAATGTATTGATATATAGTATATATAGATATTTTGCCTTTATAAACACGCACTCTTGATTATGACAATCGGCGAGTGTCGAAACTTCCAGAAAACTAGTCGTCATCAGTTTTGTTATTAGATGTTATTTCGTTCTTACTAATAATTATCAAAGTAAATATTTTAGTTACACGACAGAAAATATCAATCCACTGGGCCATGAGGATTGTGTAAACCTATAAGACTAAAACTAGATCCATTTAGAAGTCGTACTACTTTATAAACTGGCAATGTTCCTTGCAACTTGTCGCGAGCATGACAAATGGCATAAAGAGCTTTTGCCTAGGTTGACAGAACTTAAACTTGTTTGCATCGTTAAGGCTTAAAATGCAGATGTGATTTTCGCGACAATTGCGCTAACAGTTTCTTGACAATTAGAGACCTTTAGCATCAGGTTTATCGCTAACCGCTAGGGATAAGGCCCAGAAACACGCCCGCAAACACACACACACACAAAAACACTCAGCATTAATAAAGTTAAATATAGCGGATCTTCCAGCAACACCTTTGTCATGACGCCTTGCTAAATGTCAAAACTTTGACGGAAAACGCCTAACGTCAAACTGCAGTTGAGGTTTGCGGTACCTAGCAAGAACGTCGTGCTAAAGGGTCTCTATTCCTAGGAAAAACGTATTTCTGCAACTTGCAAAATAAGGATATGTCTTTAAAATAAAAACATTTTCCATCTTGTTTGTTTTTTGTCGGTGTTACTGTTTGACCCTTTGCACACGGACACAAGTTGCATGAGATATTTCCTAGTGGAACATCAATATCTCCTGTTAACAATTCTTTTTAACGAGCGTAGCACTTCATAACCAGAGAATAACAAACCCGTGGTCTTCGTTGTATGATTGAATCGGAATATAGATGTTGGTTTTAGTGGAAGGAGAAAACCCTTAGAAAACTTTTCTATCGCGCAACACATAAGACAAGCCACAAGGAGCATTGCCTGATGTACCAACCCTCAACAGATCGCTCTTTAGGCGGTCCAGTTTGCTGTAATAAAAATTAACTCTCTATGTTACGTTGTATTTGTCTGGCTGGTCCACGTCTTCAGTTCATTTTTTAAAGAAATTATAAAATTCTTCATTTTCACACGACTCTTCATCAGAAGCGGTTTTTTTAAAAAAGCTTGGTAACCTTAACTGTAAGGCACAGGGTACATCAATCAAGGGACGGTGAATTTCATCATGCAGCACTTTTGTCCTCTCCAACATCTTTTTCTGTCTCATCTTTCTTCTCATCTTGCTCTTCAGTTTTTTTGACATCTTCGGATTGCTCTTTCGCAGCTGGTTCTTCTTCTTTGGCTGGTTCACTCGCTGGCGTTTCTGTTATAAATACGGCAAACAAGTACGAGGAATCAGATGTCTGACATCGCAAACATTTTTCTCGCTACTCCGTGTAGCTTTAGTGAATGCGCTTAAAACCGAGCATTCGAAAAGAAAGATATAGATAGATCGATAGATAGATAGGCTAAGTTCAATTAAGTCCTGCACTTCGCAGTAACAAAACTGAATGCGTAACAACTTTGCAAAGAAAACAAATTATTTCAAATATCTAGGCTAAGCTAAGAATTAAAGCTACATTACTAAATCCCAAAAGACTCATCGTGGTTAAAGTGATAAAAATAATCATATATGTAAGTAAACTATCAAGTACTTATAGGTACATTGCCTAAAATGACTCATGTTGACAAATGAGTTTGCAAATTAATCTCTTCGTTTTAGTAACGAGAAGGTCAAACTTTCTCTGCTTCCTTAGACTATATCTAGACTGGTTACACGATCTAGTGGCAGACTATAAATCAATTGGACGTATTGACAACTGATTGGAAAATGTTCTTTGTGAGTTGTTTGTGGTGGGCAAAAAAGTGGACAAAGGGGGTGAAGTCCGCATGCAATGTCGACCTCCGAATGCAATGTTTCCTTATTGAATGAAGCTATGGACATTGCACGTCGGCCCCTTACCTTTGCGCAGTGTGTATTAGGATTATGTGTATGGGTCTAGGAATGGAACCCAAGTATTTGTGATAGACAAGTGCTGGTGCCCATAATACAGCTTAGACTGCGCATGCCTGTGGTTAGATGGCAGAACAATAAAATGCTCTTGGGAACTGAATTGTTTCTCATGTAAAAGATTGTATTGTTCCTGCCATCTAACATGAGTGCCGTCACGTGGTGGTGCAAAACCTCTATTCCACTGTTGCCGCACACATAGTGTATAAGAGTCTAGTACATAATATTTTTATTTATAAGATAACTAATTAAGAACATTTTTTACCTTCCTTCTCGTCGTCTTTCTTGTCCTGTTCCTCTACCCCCTCCTCCACGTTGCTATCACCTTTGGCTTCAGCTTTGTCTTGGTCTTCAGGGACAGTGTCTGGTTTCTCCTTGTCTTCATCCTCCTTGACTTCAGTATCTGGACTATCTCCCTCTTTTTCACCATCCGGTTTGTCGGTAGCCGAGGTATCTTCTTCCTTTTTGTCTTGTTCTTCACTGACAGACTCTGGCTCCTTCTTCTCTCCGTCTCCTTTTACTTCTTCCGTCTTCTCCGTCTCTGTGCTCTCCTTCTTTTCTGTATCATCTTTTTCTTCAGTTTCAGGAGAATCTTTCTTTTCTTCACTCTTTCCACTTTCAGCCGCGTCTGCTTGACCAGCCTTCTTCTCATCTTCTTTTACTTGAGCTTCTCCATCTTCTTTTTTCTCGTCTTGGCCAGATTTTTCGCTAGTTTCTTCTTTGACAACATCGCTTTCTGCATTATTCGGAGTCTCATCGCTAGGCTTTTCGCCTTCTTTCTGCTTCTCTGCTGCTTCCGTTGTCGCAGCTGAGGCACCTTCTTCATGCCGATCTTCGTTTGTTTCATTCTCTTCCACATAAGCATCATGATCCAAACCACCTTCCTCTCCTGATCTCTTATCATTGACAGCTTCCATGGGCTGTCCTTCTCCGTCCATTTGGTATTCAGATTTACTCTTTGTACAGCAATAAACTACAACCATAACCAGAATGATAACGACTATAACAGCTACGATGATCCCGATGATCTCTGTCGATCCAAGTGGTTGGGAAGACTTTGCTGGTACGTCTGATTTGGTGGTTGGTTGAGTTGTGGTGGGTACTGCTGAGAGATCGAAGATTTAAAACCTTTATCCTATATTGTCTATCCTAGTGAATCCATCGCACACAACTGCTCATAAAAATACTACGTCACGTACAACATAAACACGCATACTTGTTAAGACAGTGGACTACCTTGACGATGCGACGGCCATCTTGAGTCATAKGGSRKKGKGGGKSGSSSRGGGGGGGGGGGGGGGGGMAAAAAAMAAAMAAAMAAAAAAAMMAARRKRCWAAAATGAAGACCCCACGATATTTGAGAAATTTTCTCGGTTGTGAAACTGTCCATTTTTATTTTTGTATTTATCTCTTGTCAAACTGTCTTGTTGTCAACAGTAAACGTCAATCTATACGCCATTATTATAACAAAGCCTTTTGCCCCCTGGACGACCCATGATGCCTTGTTATTCAAGATGGCCGCCGTATCGTCGAAGTAGTCCATTGAGCTTGACATACATTCCAATCACGTAGCTTAAAGAACTGTTGGCCAAAATGTTGGTGGTCCTACTTAAGTTAAGTTTTTTTAATCAAACTTCATTTACATTCAAAGTATGGATGTAACGTAGGCAAGGAGAGCATTTGAGATGAAACGGGGTTTGGAATATTGCTTGTTTTGAACTAAGGACCTCATCTGAATCTCATGTTTTCCCATTTCAGACCACGTGTCAT